TGCCCTTTAAAAAGACATTGATAATTGCATTTTTGAAAATTGCGTTAATATCCCCCCTCCCTGTGGGGTAGGTCAGGTTGAGAGGCCGTGACTAGCTCAAGGTTCCAGCCAGAGAGCCTCATGGCTGAGTGGGGATTTGAACCCTTGGTCTCCCAGGTTCAGCACTCTTAAGCACGACACCATTCTGTTATCATATCTACGAGACACCACCTACACCAAATTCTCTAGGTGTCATACAAACAAAAAGAGAGTGGAAACCTAACAGTATAAACCACAATCAACTTGAGAGGCAACTGTCAGAAGAAACCCCAGGGCGGGACCTCAGGTGTAAAACTTCTGAATGTGAAAACTGATTCTTGTCCATTCAGAAATAAGTCCAACTGAGCTTAGAGGGGCTTACTCCAGGGGAAACTGCAGTCAAAACCAGAAACGTCGACAGCTGGGAATGTTATTAACAGCACAAAGGAGGGTTAGAATAACTTTTGCTGTAAGGGTGTGGTTCCTTCTACTGTATATAGATTATAGCAGGTGACGGTATATTTTTGGCTGCTGCCGGTATGTTCTCATTGAGCTGTGTCAGTGTGCAATGCACAGGTTGAGCAAGCTCTGCTTTCCTCTTTAGATCTCATGCATTAAAGTGTTTTTCCGTACGATTAAGATTTTGGGTTTGTTTTTTTTAAAGAGTGCCCGTTAGGCAGGACACAATTATTACTATTTTTTGCCAGGAAGCAGGAACTAAGTAGGACCATGGCTTGATTCAGAAGATGCACCTAAACCTTCCCATTCTACACAAGCTTTCTGCTTGTTTTATGCCACAATCAGCCTTCACCAAACTGGTGCCCTCCAGCTGTTTTGGGGCCTCAGCACTTAATATAGCCAACACGTTTCATTAGAACCACCACTTCCTTCCCGCCTGGCCTTCAGATAGGCAGCCTTCGCTTGTGTGAGCAGGCTTCTATTTAAAATCTCTGATCCTCAGAGTCTTGGTTTACAATGGTGCTGATGGCTTATTGCTCTTCCTTATTGGTTTTTAACCCAACCCTATTGTTTTACCTTGTTTTATTGCGCTTGTGAGCTACTTTGGGGACCTGTATGGATGGGAAGGGCTGTAGATCAGGGAAGGTCGCCGGTTTGAGCCCCGCTAGCCTCTCCAGGTGGGGCCAGATATCCAGGAGAGCCTGGTGGACAATATTGAGCTACTGCCCGTCAGAGTAAACAGTACTGAGAAGTATGGGGCCAATGGTCTGACTTGGTATAAGGCAGCTCTCTATAGTCCTAATTGGAAAGCAAATAGCTCAGTAGTAGCACACTTTGCATGCAGAAGGTCCCATTTTCAATCCTCAGCATCCCAGCATCTCCAGGTTGGCTTGGCGATGCCCCCTACCTGAAATCCCATAGAGTAGCTGCCAGTCAGTGTTGCCAATACTGAGCTTAGATTATCAATGGTCTGATGGTATAAGGTGGCTTCTGACATTCCTATGAAGCCAATAGTTTTACAGTTGTTTTTGGAGGCCACCATTTAGAAGTCAATTAAAATGGAATTCAGTAGAGATGGAGCCTTTTCTGCAGTGGCTCCCATCCTCTGGAACTCACTTCCAAACGGTCTTATAGCTTTGTATCACGTTTTTATGTACTGATACCTCTTGGGTGATACCACTACAGTCTATATACCACTTTTCAGTCCAAAGAGTCCCTAAATCAGGGAGGAGCAAATAACCAAGCCAAACAACCAAATGCACAAGTTTTTAAAGAATATATACTTTGCATTGTTAATTGAGGACCCTGTTAGCCTGCATAGTCAGCAATTACAGTATAGCAGGCATATCCAAAGTCTGTTTTGGGGGCCCCCGTCCCGTTTTATCCAGCCTCTATGGCAGTTTATTTATTGGGGTCAAATCTTTTTTTTAAAAAAGCACTTCAATCCTGATAAATAAAATTTATTATTATTTATTATTATTACTAAAAAAAGCACAACAACCTTTGTCGGCCCCCATGCATGCTCTCTACATCAAATCTGGCCCTCTTTGAAAAAAGTTTGGGCACCCCTGAATTACAGTACAGTGGACGCTTGGGTTGTGAACGTGATCCGTGCGGGATGCATGTTCGCAACCCGCAGCGTTTGCAATCCGCATCTGCGCATGCACGGGTTGTGATTCGGTGCTTCTGCACATGCGCAAAGCGCGATTTAGCGCTTCTGTGCATGCACAACCACCGAAACCTGGAAGTAACCCATTCTGGTACCTCCAGGTTTCGGCGCGTCCGTAACCCAAAAAAATGCAACCTGAAGCGGCTGTAGCCCAAGCTATGACTGTAATCTTAATGCACATGGTGGGAGGAGTAAGAAGGAGGAAACACTGTCATGTTTCTGAGCCAGTAGTTACTTTCTGAGACCCTGGCATCGTGGTAGAGAGTTGCAGCAAACAGATCATGCAGCCCAAAGGAAAAGTGAAAGTGTCATGCATTCTGGTGAGCCCCCACCTGAGTGTAGCAAAGTGCTGAAACAGCAGCCACTGTTCAAAATTGCTGAGACCAGTTACTTTGCTCCCCCTCCCAGATGGAGTGGAGCCAGTGTGCGACGCTCACATGGACAAGTCCAGCTCCCTGGACAGTTCCTGATCCTTATGAAAGGTGTATTCAGGAAGGATGTTTTCTTTGTTCTTTTTGCGTGGGTGGAACATGTTCCTTTCTTCTTTCTGGCTTCCTGCTTGCTTTCCAATGCTTTGTCGTTGTTTTTTAGTCGTTTAGTCGTGTCCGAGTCTTCATGACCCCATGGAGCAGAGCATGCCAGGCACTCCTGTCTTCCACTGCCTCCCGCAGTTTGGTCAAACTCATGTTGGTAGCCGCGAGAACACTATCCAACCATCTCGTCCTCTGTCGTCCCCTTCTCCTTGTGCCCTCAGTCTTTCCCAACATCAGGGTCTTTCCCAGGGAGTCTTCTCTTCTCATGAGGTGGCTAAAGTCTTGGACCCTCAGCTTCACGATCTGTCCTTCCAGTGAGCACTCAGGGCTGATTTCCTTCAGAATGGAGAGGTTTGATCTTCTTGCAGTCCATGGGACTCTCAAGAGTCTCCTCCAGCACCAGAATTCAAAAGCATCAATTCTTCGATCAGCCTTCTTGATGGTCCAGCTCTCACTTCCATACATCACTACTGGGAAAACCATGGCTTTAACTATATGGACTTGGACTGCTAGGTCCGCGGCTCTTTCTTTGATCTAATATGTCAGAGCAAGATGGGCTGAACGCAGTTAGGAGAAGTTATATCATTCACTCAGACTGATTGTCTGATCAACACTATTAAGGAGTTCACACCACTTTCACACCAAAGCCTTTCTCACAAACAGATGCCAACAACAACAACCATTACTAAAACCTGAATTAATTTACGCTGATTAAATCAATTTATATGCAAGTTGCTTTATTTTCAAATATTTAATCCCATGGAACCTGTTTTAAAGGTAAAGGTACCCCTGCCCGTATGGGCCAGTCTTGACAGACTCTAGGGTTGTGCGCCCATCTCACTCAAGAGGCCGGGGGCCAGCGCTGTCCGGAGACACTTCCAGGTCACGTGGCCAGCGTGACATCGCTGCTCTGGTGAGCCAGAGCCGCACACGGAAACGCCGTTTACCTTCCCGCCAATAAGCTGTCCCTATTTATCTACTTGCACCCGGGGGTGCTTTCGAACTGCTAGGTTGGCAGGCGCTGGGACCGAGCGACGGGAGCTCACCCTGTCGCGGGGATTCGAACCGCCAACCTTTCGATTGGCAAGCCCTAGGCGCTGAGGCTTTTACCCACAGCGCCACCCGCGTCCCATGGAACCTGTTTTATTTCCTATCAATTCATAGAATCATAGAATTGTAGAGTTGGAAGGGCCCCCAGGGTCATCTAGCCCAACCCCCTGAAATGCAGGAATCTCAACTAAAGAATCCCTGACATTGCCAACTGATAGAGGTCCATCCAACCTCTGCTTAAGAACATCCAATGAAACAGACCCCACCATCTTTGAAAGGAGTTCATTCCCCTGTTGAGGAGCAAATGCTGTCTAAAAGATCTTCCTAGTCGGAACCTCCTAGTTCTTTCTAGTCGGAATCTTCTTTCTTGCAATTTGAACCCACTGGTTCAGACCTACCCTCCAGAGCAGCAGAAAACAAGCTTGCTCCATCTTCCATGTGTGTAGATATCCTAAACACTTCTATGATAACTACTGCACTTTCTACATTAATAAACTGGGTGGTTTGTCGCAGTTAGTCTCGAGCCTATGGTTTTCACTGCTTCAGATCTACTCCTTCTTCCACTGAGCTAAACAAATTAAAACCTTCCACTGAGCTAAACAAATTAAAACCTTGATCAGGAGATCCAGTGATCGTTAATGCATTGGTTCATCCATGGTATGAACTGGCTTTGATTGGATCTCCATATATGTATAGCATACTTGTAAAGCAAAACACTTTGCTATAATCCTTACAGCAATCTTACAGGGTAAATCAGTGCTATATTTCCATTAGGGAAACTGAGTCCAAGAGTCCATCTCTATGTCCCCTCTGGCCACCACAGGAGTGAGTTCACAGTGAGTGCAAAACCTCTGAGGACTTCCTCGTTTGTCACTCAGCAAGCATGAGGGATGCACATTTTTCATTGTGACAAACAAAGAATTTCAACAGTTCATTGCCCTTTCACAAGGGAAGCTGGAAAGAAGAACCAAAAGCTTGTTTCTGCATGATGTGGGGAATTCTTCTATCTCCACCATCTTCATTTTCAAGACTTAGACCAGACATTAGGAAAGACCCTCCCCTGCGAAGCTTGCAGAGGTTTTGCCAGCCAGTGTGTGAAAAATACTGGACTAGATGGGCAACTATAGACTGGTGTGGTCTAAGGCAGCTTCTCATAACTTTCTACAGAACTTTCTACCGAACTTTACAAAAACGGAAGCTTCTGTCTAGGACTTGTTTCCCTGGAGTTGACTCTCCTCTTCTCTTCTTTGTTGCAGCTTTCTGGCGCCCACCCTGACTGAAGGACAAGAAATGCTTACTTTTGAATTCAGGAGAATTAAGCACATGCTTAATGAGCAAGGGGATGGGGGCCCCTGCCTGCACAATGGCCTCCTACTCCATGATAACCATGAAGAAATTTGCTGGTGCGATGTTCCTGCTTGGCGCTGTGTTCTTGAACTTGACGTTCCTTGCCCAGCCATTCCATAACCCCAGCAGAACTCAAGCACAGAACCGTTCCCTGATGGTCTTGATCTGGGACTGGCCTTATGGCCATGCCTTAAACCTCACCGGCGATCCCTGTGCCACGCTTTGCTCCATTAAGGGCTGCCAGCTGACCTGGAACCGCAACCTCTACAACCAAGCAGATGTGGTAGTTTTCCACCACTGGGCACTCCAGCACCGCAGATCACGCCCCCCTGCATCTAAGCCCCACCCAGGGCAAAAGTGGGTGTGGCTCTCCCTGGAGTCCCCCTCACACAGCAATGACCTAGCCAGGTGGGATGGAGTCTTCAACTGGACCATGACGTTCAGGCGGGACTCCGACATCTTCATCCCTTATGGGGAGCTCGTCGCCCAACCATCAGATGAGGTGGACATCCCAGAGAAATCTGGCCTTGTGTCATGGGTCATCAGCCACTACCACCATACCCAACAGAGAGCGCAACTGTTCAGGAACCTGTCCAAGTACATCAAGGTTGATGTGTATGGGAGGGCAAACAAGAAGCCTCTCTGCCCAGCCTGCCTACTGCCCACCATTTCCAAATACAAGTTCTATCTGGCCTTTGAGAACTCCGTTCACCGGGACTACATCACTGAGAAGCTCTGGAGGAACTCCCTCCTGGCTGGATCCGTGCCTGTGGTCATGGGGCCTCCCCGAGCCAATTACCAGCAGTTCATTCCTGGTGATGCTTTCATCCATGTAGACGACTTTGGCTCTGTGAAGGAACTTGCAGACTTCCTGCTCACCATGAATGAGAGCCGCTACCAGAGGTTCTTTGAGTGGAAGAGGAGTTTTGCCGTGAAGCTGTATGATAGCTGGCCAGAGAGGTTCTGCACCATCTGCCAGTGTTTCCCCAGCCTGCCCCAAGGGAAGGTCTACCACAGTCTGGAGAAGTGGTTCTGGAGTTAGCAACCAGGGTGGACTGAAGTCAGGGGCCTCGCTAGGTGCTTAAGAACCTAAGGACCTAAGAAGAGCCTTCTGGATTACACCAATGGCCTATCTAGTCCAGCAATTGACTAGCAAACTCAGAGGTAACTCAAAGCAAAAGTTTGCAGGAAAGTGGGATGGTTATAGAAGATACATTCAAAAATACAATAATAGTTTTGACTCTGTGCTAGCGTTCGAGTGACAAAGGAAGTAAAAGGAGGTGGACAACAATTAAGGATTTATTATGTTTTCTAAATGTATTGGAAAATCTATACAGAAAGGCTTATTGTTTTGTGTACATTCAATTGTACGATAAAATATATGCGCAGGGACTCGACAGGAAGTCAAAACTGAAGAAAATATTTTGTAAGATAAAAGGGGGAGAAATATTTATTTTCATTATTATCACTATTTTGTTGTGTGTGTCTTTGTGTGGGTGTATGTTTTGTATGGAATGTTTGGGAGGAAATAAGACGGCAAATAACAAATAATGAACAAAATATTGATGTATGTAATTTTTATTTCTCATTTCTATTTTGTGGTAGTATGGTTGTAATGTTTTTTGTAACATAAAAGCATTCAATAAATATTATTATTTTTTAAAAAAGAGAATCATTGCTGCCTCTGACTGTGGAGGCAGAGCTGAACCCGCATGGCTGGTAGTGTAGTCCTTGCAGAACTTGGGGCACATGGGCCAAATTTGCATATACTGATTTGTTGGTGTGCTTGGAAATTTAGGCTAATTGTCAGAGGGAAAGATCCCCTGTAAGCATTAAGAAAGAAAGAAAGTTTGAAGGGGAGACAGAAAGGCAGCATATTTGGAGCCCAGTGCAAAGGACCCAGGGGCCACCCACACATACCAACAATGCCAGCTGCTGAATTCAATCAAGGAGCACCCTGGGCTTGGTCCTCCTTGTGAAGAGTCAGGATGAGCCTGCAAGAAGAGGGACTCAGGGCCCCATTATTGCTCCACTGTTGTTTTGCACAAGCTTCTTCTGACGTGGCCTGTTTCCAAATCGTTCTCCGTAGCAGCGGCAGTGAGGTCATGCCAGGCTCCTTCTTGGGCAAACCATCAGATTGCTCCACAACTGCCTGTGCCTTTGTTCTTGCACTCCAAACCCTGCCCGAGACAGATTTCTTGACTCAGCCCTCTGCCTGCAAATTGCCTCTGCTTCTTTATTGGGCCTGCATCTGGATGAACGGCAGAATTCGGCTCCTGACCCAATCCTATCAGGATTCACACCTGTGTGCTTGGCTGCCTGCGGCCCAGCAGGCACAAGCAGGCAGGCGTGTTCCTGACAGTTTTCTAATCTCCGCTCATCAGCTAGCTTGAGCCTCTACAAGACACAGGGGTTTCTTTTCACCCTGTAACAAGAACAACAAGAACAACAAGAACAACAACAACAACAACAACAACAATAATATTTATTTATACCCCGCCCATCTGGCTGAGTTTCTCCAACCACTCTGGGCGGCTCCCAATCAAATGTTAAAAACAGTACAGCATTAAATATTAAAAACTTCCCTTCAGATGTCTTTTAAAGATAGGATAGCTGCTTATTTCCTTCACATCTGAAGGGAGGGTGTTCCACAGGGTACATAACTGGTACATGCTTTCTCTCTGTAGGTGGGCAGAGTTTTGTTTGCTTCACACCAGGTGGTGGTTGTATGTCTGGCTGGGCACCGTTTTATGTCTTTGCTGCCTAGGTGGCTGGGAGAAAGTTTAGCATTTTGACATCTGGACCATCCTATTCCCAGGGAGCGAAACAAACTCACTGAGAAGTTATTCTGGTTGGGTGGCCATCTGAGCTGTGATTCATGCCTTGCAGGGGACTGGGGTAGATAACACATTGGGTCACTTCCAGCTCCACAATTCTAAGACTTGGATACCAAGGTTCAGGTCTTGTATCACCTTTTCAACAGTCACTCTGCGGCTGGCTAAGCCTCCAATATATTAGAGGAACCAGGGCAGGAGACGAGAAAGGCTCCCTTGAAGAAGCCTCAGGCTGGAAGAGTTGAATCGCAAAGTTCATAAGGGTTCAAAGATCTGATACTGAGAACTAAGAATATATATCTTTCCAGAAGATGACTGAGAACACAGAGAGAGAGGGGGAGAGAGAGTGCTGATTAAGCGCTTTATCTCTTCTTTATCTCTACCATCCTTGTTTAATCTGAAATCACAGAGAGGATTGATCCCACACAGACACAAACTGACCATCTGACACAAATCGCCATCTGACCTAGGTCACAACATTATGATGGAAGATTGGGAAAAATTATGGAAAACTGATTTAAAATTTACACATTGTTCCCTATTGAAGGAGAATTACATGAAGATGATGTACATGGGGGTGGGTGGATTTTGTGTGGGAGGGTGGAGGGAGGGAGGAAAAATGGGGAAAAATAAGGATTATATGTTTTTGGATAATATGTTTTGTTTTAATTTTGAATAATTTTTTTTTAAAAAACCAAACAAATTGCCATCTGAAACTTTTAGTTAGCTGACAACGAATTTAACAGCTCATGTCATGCAAGCAGACCCTCCAAGTGCCCCTATTTTCCAGGGACAGTCCCAGATTTACAGAAGCTGTCACGGTTTCTGATTTGATCCCGGAATGTCCCACTTTTCCTTAGGACGTCCCCATTTTCATCAGAGAAATGTTGGAGGGTATGGAGTTATTTGACGCCTGAGGCATCTGAAGGCAGCCCTGTATAGGGAAGTTTCAAAATGTATAGGGAAGTTTCAAAATGTTTAATTTTGTGGCTGGGACAACCTAGTCAGATAGGTGGGGTATAAATTGTAATTTTTTAAATTATGGAATAAGACACCTTTATTTTCATTGGAGGGTATGTGCAAACAGTTGATGGGGCAGCAGCTCTATACCTGTTGCACCTGTAAATTCAGTTCTCTGCCATGCCTCAAATCTCAGCCACCTCATTAATAGAATAAATGATAGATAAGGCAATGATACGTACAATTTTTAATATGCAGAGAATAATATGTGCAAATAAATCAGAGAGGGGAGCTGAGGGAAGTCCCAAGTGGGGGGGGGGTGAGAGGGAGGGATGGGGAGGGGGAGAGGGGAAAAAATAATGTAATTGACTATTTGGATAGATAATTTGTTCTGTTGAAATTGCTTAATAAAAATATTTTTTTTAAAAAACAAAAAACCCCAGCCACCTTATTGTGGCATAGTGTTGTGACTAGGCCCTAGGAGCCCAGGGTTCAAATCCCTTGGGAGCCAGTTCCTGCCTCTCAGCCTAATCTACCTCACAGGGTTGTTGTCGGGATTAAATGAGGAGGCGAAAGAACCATGGATGCCACCTTCAGGTCCTTGGAGAGAACGGCGTGTTAGAAATGCAATCAATCAATCAATCAATCAATCAATCAATAAATAAATAGGACTAAATTGGACCTCTCCCCTCCCCCACCCTTTCACACACTTCCTCCTCTGCCAGCAAACTTCTCTTAAGCCCAAATCTCCCAGCTCATTCCCTCTATCCCTCCCTGAGTTGTCCTATAGCTTTGGAATGGGAATGCCCTCACAGCCTCCTTTGCCACTTCCTCTCCACTGCTTCCTGCTGGTCTTATCTGTGCAGGTGGTACACACACACACACACACACACACACGGACCCCAAGGCAATACCCCTTGCTATTACCCCTTGCTAATACAAATGCTAAAGAATGGATGCTTTTGAATTGTGGTGCTGGAGGAGACTCTTGAGAGTCCCATGGACTGCAAGAAGATCAAACCTATCCATTCTGAAGGAAGTCAGCCCTGATTGCTCCCTGGAAGGACAGATCCTGAAGCTGAGGCTCCAGTACTTTGGCCACCTCATGAGAAGAGAAGACTCCCTGGAAAAGACCCTGATGCTGGGAAAGACGGAGGGCACAAGGAGAAGGGGACGACAGAGGACGAGGTGGTGGGACAGTGTTGACGAAGCTACCAGCATGAGTTTGACCAAACTGCGGGAGGCAGTGGAAGACAGCAGTGCCTGGTCCAGGGGGTCACGAAGAGTCGGACACGACTAAACGACTAAACAACAACAAAATACAAATGCAGCTCTTTCTTATTCATTTGCACTGGGGGTAAGGAAGGCATGGGTGGGGTGTGTGCGAAGGATGGTACATAGAAGATGCTTCACAAAGTAATATAAGCAGCGATGGCAGGTCTCTGCCCTGAGGTGCTTACAGCTTCTCAAGCTGTGCAACTAATGCCAGATAGAGAGCAGCAAGATTCAGGGCTGTGGCCAGAAATGAATGTGAAGACAATTTCTTGGTTTCATCACTTGGACTTCGCTTAGAGGCGAGAACCGTTGAAATAAAACCAATCAAGGAAATAAATCTGATCCTCTCATTACCACAAAGTTGCGGCGGCGGGGGGGGGGGGGCAGGGGGGAGAGGAAGGAAGCACCCCTCCTACGCCATGCTCGAAATGAGAGAGCACTTTGCTCAGCAGTGAGACCTGTTTCCTTTCCTGTTTACCCAACGTAAGCTGACAGGAGCTGGGCAAGAAAAGGAGGGCAGCTGTGCCTGCCCCACTTTAAAAAAACAACAACCCCACAACTCATCTCCAGGGCAGGAGAACACAAGGGCATAAGAAGGTGTTGCTGGATCCGGCCACAGGGGCCCTATCCAGTCCAGCATCCTCTTCTCACAGTGGTCAGCTAGGTGACCTAAAGGGAAACCAGGAAACAGGAACCGGGCACAAGACCCTCTCCCCTTCTGTGGCACCAGCAACTCGTATTTGAAAGCATTGCTGCCTCAGACTGTGGAGGCAGAGCATAGCCATTGTGGCTGTGTTATGTACTAAGCTTGGATCCTAGAACAATAGGCAAGTAGGATATAATAATAATAATAATAATAATAATAATAATAATAATAATAATAATTTATTATTTATTATTTATACCCTGCCCATCTGGCTGGGTTTCCCCAGCCACTCTGGGCGGCTTCCAACAAAACACTAAAATACAATAACCTATTAAACATTAAAAGCTTCCCTAAACAGGGCTGCCTTCAGATGTCTTCTAAAAGTTTGGTAGTTATTTTTCTCTTTGACATCTGGTGGGAGGGCGTTCCACAGGGCCGGTGCCACTACCAAGAAGGCCCTCTGCCTGGTTCCCTGTAGCTTTGCTTCTCGCAGTGAGGGAACTGCCAGAAGACCCTCGGAGCTGGACCTCAGTGTCCAGGCAGAATGATGGGGGTGGAGACGCTCCTTCAGGTATACTGGGCCAGGTCTGTTTAGGGCTTTCAAGGTCAGCACCAACACTTTGAATTGTGCTCGGAAATGTACTAGAATGCAACAACTGATTGGCTTGCAGGAAATGACCAATCAGACTTCAGGAAGAAGTTAATCAACCTATTAGGCTGGTAGGATCATAGA